GGCCAAACCACTTCTCAGTACACCCCTTGGCTCCCCTGCCCTCCCCCCACTACCCGTTCGTTGTCTCTCACCCAACCCATGACATCACCCGTACGCCCCCTACCCCTACTCCCGAGGACCCCGCAAATCCTCCCAGCCCCTAGACATCCCCTAAGCCCCCCCCCCTCCCCTCACCGCGACGCCCCTGACCAGGTGACATCGCTTTGTGTCGCGTGGTCAGGTGGGCGAGTGATCCCTCGGCCGCTGGAGCTTCCATGTGAATTACGCGCATTATGGTGATCATTTACCGATTGATTCCGTTCCGTGCGACCCGGTGATTGTCGGCGGCCAGGTGTGAAATGTGGCAGCGGCGGGTGTGTGTGTGTGTGTGCGTGTGTGTGAGCGTGATTAAGTATGTGTACATCTCGTGTGTGCGTGTGTGTATGGGAGAGGGAGTGCATAAGTACTGTATGTGTACAGGTTCTGTGTACGTAGCTTTGCGTGTGTGTTCCCCCAAACCCATCCCCTTCAAACCCTTTGCCCCATCCTCCCTTCCCTCCCTCTTCGCTCCCCCTCTCTAACGTCCCAACCCCCTTTCTCTTCCTCCCCCTCCCTCCCACCTCATCCCTCTTTATCTTCCATCTCCTCCCCATCTCTCCTTCTCTCCGCCCTTACCTCCTCTTCCCCCCATCTCTCCTTCCCCCTCCATCTCTCCATCCCCCTCTCCTACCTCCTCCTCCCCCTCCACCTCTCCCTCCCCCACAACCTCCTCCTCCCCTCCTTCCCTCCTCCTGCCCCTCCACCGCTCCCTCCCCTTCCTTCCCTTCTTCTCCCCACCCACCCCTCTCCCTCCCCTTCTCCTCACCCACCCCTCTCCCTCCCCTTCCTTCCCTTCTTCTCCTCACCCACCCCTCTCCCTCCCCTTCCTTCCCTTCTTCTCCTCTCCCACCCCTCTCCCTCCCCTTCCTTTCCTCCTTCTCCCTCTCCCCCTCCTTTCAACTCTTCCTCCCCCTCCCTTCCCTTTTCCTTCCCCTCCCCTCCCTTCCCTCCTCCTTCCACTCCCCCCCTCACTCATCTATCTCCCCCTCCCTCTCCACCTCTCCCTTACCCTCCCTTCCCTCCTCCTCCTCCCCCTCCCCCATCCCTTCCCTTCCTTCCCTTCTTCTCCCCACCCACCCCTCTCCCTCCCCTTCCTTCCCTTCTTCTCCTCACCCACCCCTCTCCCTCCCCTTCCTTCCCTTCTTCTCCCCACCCACCCCTCTCCCTCCCCTTCCTTCCCTTCTTCTCCTCACCCACCCCTCTCCCTCCCCTTCCTTCCCTTCTTCTCCTCACCCACCCCTCTCCCTCCCCTTCCTTCCCTTCTTCTCCTCACCCACCCCTCTCCCTCCCCTTCCTTCCCTTCTTCTCCTCACCCACCCCTCTCCCTCCCCTTCCTTCCCTTCTTCTCCTCACCCACCCCTCTCCCTCCCCTTCCTTCCCTTCTTCTCCTCACCCACCCCTCTCCCTCCCCTTCCTTCCCTTCTTCTCCTCACCCACCCCTCTCCCTCCCCTTCCTTCCCTTCTTCTCCTCACCCACCCCTCTCCCTCCCCTTCCTTCCCTTCTTCTCCTCACCCACCCCTCTCCCTCCCCTTCCTTCCCTTCTTCTCCTCACCCACCCCTCTCCCTCCCCTTCCTTCCCTTCTTCTCCTCACCCACCCCTCTCCCTCCCCTTCCTTCCCTTCTTCTCCTCACCCACCCCTCTCCCTCCCCTTCCTTCCCTTCTTCTCCTCACCCACCCCTCTCCCTCCCCTTCCTTCCCTTCTTCTCCTCACCCACCCCTCTCCCTCCCCTTCCTTCCCTTCTTCTCCTCACCCACCCCTCTCCCTCCCCTTCCTTCCCTTCTTCTCCTCACCCACCCCTCTCCCTCCCCTTCTCCTCACCCACCCCTCTCCCTCCCCTTCCTTCCCTTCTTCTCCTCACCCACCCCTCTCCCTCCCCTTCCTTCCCTTCTTCTCCTCACCCACCCCTCTCCCTCCCCTTCCTTCCCTTCTTCTCCTCACCCACCCCTCTCCCTCCCCTTCCTTCCCTTCTTCTCCTCACCCACCCCTCTCCCTCCCCTTCCTTCCCTTCTTCTCCTCACCCACCCCTCTCCCTCCCCTTCCTTCCCTTCTTCTCCTCACCCACCCCTCTCCCTCCCCTTCCTTCCCTTCTTCTCCTCACCCACCCCTCTCCCTCCCCTTCCTTCCCTTCTTCTCCTCACCCACCCCTCTCCCTCCCCTTCCTTCCCTTCTTCTCCTCACCCACCCCTCTCCCTCCCCTTCCTTCCCTTCTTCTCCTCACCCACCCCTCTCCCTCCCCTTCCTTCCCTTCTTCTCCTCACCCACCCCTCTCCCTCCCCTTCCTTCCCTTCTTCTCCTCACCCACCCCTCTCCCTCCCCTTCCTTCCCTTCTTCTCCTCACCCACCCCTCTCCCTCCCCTTCCTTCCCTTCTTCTCCTCACCCACCCCTCTCCCTCCCCTTCCTTCCCTTCTTCTCCTCACC